AACCTGTCCGCCATAAATGCCTCAGAGGACGGATACATGAACCGTAGCGTCCAGCTAGCTTAGCCGCTAGCTTAGCCGCTAGCTTAGCCGCTAGCTTAGCCGCTAGCTTAGCCGCTAGCTTAGCGATAAATACACACAGCGTTGTATTCTCCTCCCCATGTCGGCCCTAAAAGCTTCAGAGGGCGGATAGCTGGGCTCCGTAGCGTCCCACTAGCTTAGCCGCTAGCTAAAGGTAAACATAGATGGGTACATAGAATATGAGGTCACCGAGGTAGAGGATATATTTTTGTATTCACTTTGAACTCGGCCAAATGGAGTTTAATGCTTTGGGATTTAAGTTAGGCCACATAGTTTAATGCTTTGGGATTTAAGTTAGGCCACATAGTACGTGCATGGGTTTGAAAGTATAACGTGCTAGCCTGCTGTAATACATCATATAGTCAGGCACAAATTTATGAGATTTAACAATGGCCAATTATATTTCTTAAATAATATGTAGCCTATTCCCAGAGCATAATTCATGGGGCAACAAGGTGAGGTGTAAAATGTGTTTTAATATCATACATTTTAATCCAGCAAATTTCTTGTACGGACTTCGGCAGTAGTGAAGACTCACTGAACGAATTAAGTACAAAGACGAATCGAAATGCCCATCACTAAAGCCCATGTTTCTCACTAAATTGTAAGTACAACTTATTAAAAAGATCAGTTCAATGCAACTAATGTCGTCTTAGTGTTATTGCATGATGTTAAAATTGGTTTGCCATGAATTTCGTGATGGATTGTAAAAAATGAATTTTTTTTTCAAAGGGGGTACATTATTGAAAAAAGTTTGAGAATCACTGTCTTAGACAATGAAACCTTTTTACTGTGTTTTCAGTTCATCCATCCATCCATCCATGAAAGTGAATTATTACATTCTCTAACAGCTCCACCCCTTTGGGTCATGTTTGTTTCCTAAACAAAAACAACATGACAAAGGCCAAAAACAAAGATAGCCAAAATATAATCCCAAGGCTCCAAACAGTAGGCCACAAAACAATTGGCGATGTCTAAAATGAGCCTATCGATGTTATCCTTCTTTGTCACTACGAGAGACTTTCACATTAGTCAAGGTCAACTAATCCATGCAGATAGTATACATATTGACAAGTTCAGCATTAAGGTTAAGTAAGTATTATGAAGGCTTCAATACCCCAAACCCACGGAATTTGTTTTGACTCTAGGCTGGTAAGTGAAGTAGAAATAAAAAATCGAAGACATTATGAATGATAGGTGTGCAGAACTGAGTATCCTTTCTCTGACTAAAGACATATTTCCCACTGGCAAGAAGAGCTTAACACAATGATACCAACAGGAATCTCTTGAGAGAAACTGGTCTAAAATAAATTACAGTCATGGAGGCCGCAAATCATAACTGCCATAAATATACATTAATTGTTTCTGTATCATTTATTGTGATCATATTCTTTTTTTCATGATGTAAGGCAGGGGTACTCAAATACAAATCTTAAAGGTCCAAAATAAATGTTTCAATAAGACAAAGGTCCGTTTATTACGGTCATTCAAACTTTTAAACAATTGCAACAAGATTCTTAACACGAGGTTGCAAAAACAAAAATAATCTGTATGCAGCAGTTTTCATTGTTATTGTTTCTGTGCTTGACCCCTCAGAGTCGCAGTGTAAGAGCTGCACAGTTAGGAATAAAGGCAGCTGCACCCTCTTTCATTCAGCATTCCCATTATTGCTTTATAAATGTCTTGCCCCCTTGTGTGTCCACTGAGGTTCGTCAGGCCCAACACATCTTCAACAAACTCCCCCTTTGCCTCATCATAAAAACTCACAAACACCAGCAACTGAGCATTGTCAGTGGTGTCAGTGGACTCACCCACAGCTAAGGAAATGCACTGTGCATTTTTTATTCCATCACAAAGCTGATGAATCAAATCACCAGCCAGTATTTATGTTCTTCTGGTTACTGTGGAATCTGAGAGGGGGATTTGCTTGATTTGACCTGTTATTTCCTCTTTTTGTTTGCCTTCAACATGGTCTCCATCACTTCAGTCATGCATTCTTTTATACTGCAGTTATTATCCAGTGGAAAGTCCTTACCTACTGGCCTAGTTAAATCAAAGTGATTACTTTTTTTTGGCTGGGCAGTGTAGTTTTAAACACCGTCTTATTTGACTTTCTCAGGAATTAAAACAGTTTTTTGGGGGCAGACCCCCTCAAAGAAAACAATATATTTACACACGTAAGGTCATCATCTTAATAGTTTTGTATGCTCATCCGTGAGCAGAGCATCAAGTTGGCATGTCTATTACAGCTGAATGCGGCGATTACCATCTTGTTCAGCAAAACGCCTCACAAACGTATTAAGATCAACAGCTTTAGTGCGTTTTGATTCAATGCTGAGTACAGCCAAACTGACAGTCTCTTCTCTGTCAGTGTAGACCGCAAATACCTCATTCCTTCAGTGCGTGGGTCCGAATGCTTCTCGTTTTGCGCCGTCCAGTTAAAAATGAAATCGCCGCCAAATCGTATGTCCACGCTCGCGCCAGGACCGGGGGAGGGGTTACATGACGTGCATCTTGTGCTGCATTCACTTGCACTCGGACATTAGAGACTTTCTCTCATAAATGTCCGATGAGCCACAACTTTTCTTTCAAAACAAAGCTGCCAACTGGGGTGGCAGATGGGGTGGCAAGGCCTATTTTTAGGGTGTCAGTTGCCACCCCGGTAGGTGAAACTAGGCTACTAGCTACAGTACAGATGGAACTAGATGAGCTGTTAACTCTCGCTCTGAATTTTTTTTGTTTTTGTTTTAATTCTCGCTCTGACTTAGACAGGTTGAAAGAGACACACACATTTTTCCCACCCGCATTCCGCGAAGACCCGCCCTACTGTGCCTCTGATTCGCAGATTGTTTGGGGGGAAAAAACGCTGACTGGATGCTGAATGTGATTGGACCAAAGCGTTGACACACACAGGTGGAACACAGTGGAACAGTCAGACATGCAGAGCGCTGTTTGCAGTGGACATAGCGGAGAATTTTGACTCGTTGCGAATGCGTTGTGGCGATGTCTCACATATAATACAGAGAGATCATACATATGAAAAGTATAATTTGCTCAGAGTCCGGAGACAGTGCTGGTTCGGTCCGGATCCGGACCGGAGTCCGTAGTTTGAGGATGCCTGATGTAAGGTATTGACACAAAAAGATTGGTGGTGCTGTGATGTTTTGTTGTATCACTGTATTTGGTCCAACAAGTGAATAGCTGGAAGGGAGAGGAGACTTCTGACATTTCCCTGCACTCGAGCAGCAGGCCTTTTGATACCACAGTGACGTGTTAGACCACAAAACACCACACTGTATGTACTGTAGTGTGTATTTATTATTTGTTGTTGTTACACCTCCTGCTAAGTGGAGACCCCCCCTCAGCAAATAGTGTGAAAATGTTATTGATTGAAGTCACCTACTTCCCAAATGTGTTGCTTACATAAAAAAATCAAGAATATTTATTATATTTATTTGAAATCAGTTTGAATATACAAATAAGGTACTTATCATTCAGTCAATCATTTAATATACTGTAACTTGAATAGATTTCCATAAAATAAATCTGAAATTGGATAATGCAAGGTTCGACATTTGTCTCAAGGGGCCTTATTACGCTTTTTGGGTTTTTTTCCCTAATCTGTAGTGTGTTATAGGTTTTTGTGCATGTGGTCTGCAAAGACTGAAATCCTGAAACGCCTCCATTGGACTGCTTTGTTTACTTCCGTTACAAAGTGACCTCTGTAACACTTGCACTATTGACTTGTTCTCCAACACATTGCATGTGATATGCTAGGGGGCTGGACATATCCAACACATCTCTAAGTGGTTGACCAATCACAACAGAGCCTGCCAGCCAATCAGAGCAGAGTGGGCTCTGGTTTGATAAAAACAACAACCTTTTTGGACATTAACACATGCAAACTATCACAGTAGAGGCATAAAATACAAATATGAACCAATACATTTGAAAAAGATATCCTCTTTAAATTAGTTTTTGCAGAGGGAAATTTGAATGTGTCTTGTAAAAGCTCCATCAGTCGCAGTTAGGTTAAAGGCTAACGTGAAAATGGAGTACTGATGATCAAGGTCATAGGTTTTATGGAATTAATATTGAGAAAGACCTCACAAGAATAATAATGTCGGTGTAGGAGTTTGTGGGTCTTTATGCGACTGTGTTTTTGTTTGTGTTCTCACACTGGTGTTTGTAAGAGAAAGCTCAAGGCCCAGTATGTTGAATAATGAGACATGACTCTGTGTTTGTGCCTGCCAGTCCCAAACTCAGCAGGAAGTCCTGTCCAACTGGAGGAACATTTAACCGTTCAGCATAGACCTAATTTATCTAAAAAAGTTAAAAAAAGAAACATAGAGACAAAATGGAGGCAATGCATCGCCCCTGAATATTTGTCCATCGCCTAAAGCCTGTGGTGCGCTTCATTGATTTGTTTGCTGTTGTAATGCGAGCAATGGATGATTGAATTGTGCTGAACCAGCGTTTCTTTCAGCTTTTCTATTAGGCGGATATTTTTGACATGGTGGATTAGAGGGTGGGGGGTTGGATCATTCCCCAGCTTAACCACAAACGGCCATAAACAGGGCGGGATGAGTCATTTACAGGCGCAATCTCATAACACATCAATCTTATTTTTATTGACAGAGGATAAACAATTTATTAGTACTCCCCCCCCCCCCCTAAAGCTCTATTTTTGGGATATTCACAAATAATAATACGTTTTTAGCAGCTCAAATTTAAACGCTAATAAAAAGCTTATCTAAAAAGATTTGTTTTTAGCTGTGGTTCAAAATGAGTTGGCCTCTCTGATATTTCCTGATGGTGTGTTCCACAGTTCGGAGCGTAGTGGATAAAAGCTGCTTCCTGTTCCTCCTTTCACTCATCTTGTATGCTAACTCCTCTCCCTCATATCTTCTGGCCCTAAACAGGAACCTGAGCAACAACAAGATCTCCCTGCTGAGGAACGGCTCTTTCTACGGCTTGGCTGCTCTGGAAAAACTGTGAGTCCTTAAATCAAGCTATCTTTACTATTCCCCCCCTCCCCAGAGTCCTAATGGCTGTCATCACCCGTTTCTCCCATTTTTTCCCCTTAAACTGTGGGTTTTCTCTGGAAGTTTTTCCTTGTACGATGTGAGGGTCTAAGGACAGAGGGTATCGTTTTTCTCATACTGATATTCTGAACAATCTGTGCTGTTGTATTTGCTGTAAAGTGTCTCTACTGTAGGCTATTTTTATTATATGTACAGCACTTTGGCTCGACCAAAAATCACTTATAAATGTGCTATATAAATAAAACTTGATTTGATTTGATCACAGGAGCCCTATGTAGCGAGGAAAAGGCAAAAGGGTGACATGGTGGGAAATTACAGTAGGAAGTCTGCATTGCAGAAGGCTCACCAATGATTTTCACCCTTCTGCCCTCGTACTTAGCCTCAATTTCCACAGTAAATGTCTTAAAAGGGATAATATATAGCATCATATAAAGGCCTAATGCCGTACACTTTGACAATTTGACTGGCTGCTACCGAGTCCATGTCTCTGAGTCAGACATGATACGCACTGTCCTGGAGGGCTGTATGCGAACACAATGAAAAACTGAAACATTGACTATAATTTCAATTTGTTGACGTAACACATTTAAATAAAGTCAACGTTCCAGTTTTTCAGTGCTGCCTCATGATGAGCTCTATGATGGTTATTTTCCACGTTGCCTCCTGAACTCAACTATTGATTGCCTTCACCTCCATCCAGTACGATGATTACCGCTCTCCTACCGTATGGTGACACTGACATCAGCTGATGAGGAGGAAATCACAGACGGCTGAAATCACAGCGAGGACGGCTTAATAACTCTCCACCTCTCCGTCAATCCACCTCAGATCCATGCATCACAACCTCTACACCAGCGGCTGCTTTGCATTTCATTCCCGTCAGTTGATCTCAATCTCTCTGAGTCTTTGACAGTTGGTTTCAGATTGTAATGTCAGTGGCGTCATTCTTCCAGTGTCACCGTGTCGCCGGCCGACCTGCAGCGTGATGTCACATGTCTCCCCGGGCTTTATTAGCAGGCTGGGATTACATGTAACGGGATTGCGTTATCAGGATACAAAAAAAGGGAACTGTATTCCCTTACAGTTAAATACAAATATACTGTGACATTTCTAAAAGTTAGGGATTACTAGCGGGATTACAATGTGAACATATATTTTAAAATTAATACAAATACAAATTAAAAAAAGATTAATATATTAGATGTACTGCCCGCAATTTCTTTTTGGTTTTCAATATAGGCTACTTTCATTATTTATGTTAAATATATTTACTTGTACATTGTTGGACACCTGATTTATTATATTATACAGCATTTGCAAACTACACTGTAACTTTGACATTCATTCAATGTATCATGACAACATACAGTATATCACATAACTGTATTAGATTAAAGCAATAACATTAAGTTGAACATAATATATATTTAAGTAAATACTCTTCTGTAATTTAAGAGGACACATTTTCTACCCCAAACATCTTGGTTTCTTCTTTTCCAAGGTCACATCGTATGTTATATTACATAATATCCTTAAGTAAAAACATCTTATTGTATTTATTTGAGTGGCATTTGATATTAAGGTAACCAAAAAGTAGTGGAAAGTAATCAGGTTACTGATTCAACAGGTTATTAGTAATTATAATGGATTACATTATTAAAGTAACCCTCCCAACCCTTGCAGTGGCCTCATTCTTCCAGTCGTTTTTGGGTAACTGTGTCGCCGGTCGCCCTGCAGGGTGATGTTTCCTATCTCCCCGGGCCTTATTAGTGCCATTGAACCTCTCTACCGTCCCCCGTCCCCCACCTCAGTGTTGGAAGGATGATTGCGAGGCGTTTGAGGACACTCTGCCAAAGGTTTGTCAAGGCTGACCTCTTCCAGCAGCACGTTGCGTGCCCGATCCTTCACCTCGCTGTCTGGGTACAGCCTGTCCATCCGTCCCGCCACAGGCAGCATTTGGCACAGATGTGTGTGTGTCGCTAGCTCTTGATGCCAAGGCAGGTAGCCTCAGTGAGTTGAAAGTGGCGGCCAGCTGTTCCCTCGTCTGGCCCGGCTGTTTGTCTGCCTGCGAACCGGCTCGGCTGGCTGACTGACCAGATCTGAGGGTGGTGGTAAATTGGCAACTGATTGACAAGCTTAATTACCCGTGTGTGTGTGCGTGTGTGTGTTTGTGTTTGCACCACTCGTGCTACAGCTGTGGACCCTCTGAAAACAAAGTAATCTAAGTTTTTACTTTGCATGATATACAATTAGGGTGTGTTAATTAAAGTTTTCCTAAATTCCACAACATATTTTATTAATCATTACTGGTGGTACCTAGCCACGAGGATCCTTTTGGGGTAATTTGTCCTGGCTTTGGGAAATGCTTCAGTCTCCACCTAAAAACAGTATTTTTTTTAACCCATTTTCAAATACTGCAAATTGGTCTACACTGACGCCTCATGTTCCCCTCTAGCATCAGTTTTCAGGGCTGCCCCTAGTGGAGTAATTATGACAGAAGTAAAGGAGAGAGTCAGGTGACCATATTGTACAGAGAGAAAAAGTCCACATTAAGGCCACAGAGACAGAACGGGTTGTATCCGCTACAGTTCTTTATCGTATAGACGGTTCGTCCACACGAGGCCAACACGGAAACGGAGCCCTCAAACAATAACGCATCCTAAAGTGGGAAGGTCTGGTAACGAAACGCTTGCTGCTCCGTCTGTACGCCCTATACGATCATAGCCCCGACTCTCCCCACCTCTCCTGCTCACCCCCGCGTCATTGCTGATGCGTTTCGCCAAACAACAACAACAATGGTGGATCACAGGGTTGCGTTCGTGCTCCAGACGCTACTGACCATGATACAGATGTTAGTGCAAAATCTACAGCTCCTCTACCACAACCATCAGCAACAAGTGGACATGGAGAACTACATGAACTATATGTTGCTAAATCCACCGCGGAGAATAACCAGAAGGGCAACCAGGCAACCATGCTCGGTTATCTTATTCGCTGCTTTTGGTGTATTTTGTGGCGGAAGTACAGCGCCACTTACAGGCCCGGCATATGTACTACAGCGTCTCCAGCGGGTCGAGCGGTCTCGTGTGAACGGACACGTTTCTTGAGCCGATTTCGTGTGGACGGAAGACTTTTTTGATATCGACTTCGGTTCGTTTTCGTCTCTGTCTCCGTGTGGATGGGGCCTAAGAGTTTACCCATAAGCCCATTGTTTGCATCCCATTTGAAACCAAAGGCAACATTAACTTAATTGACCTCTTAAAGAGCCTGTGACAGCATCCCAACAACTGTTGTGCAATGAAATATTGGGCTACTAGTAATCTCGAACCGTCAGTTTAAAAAAGAAAAAGCGATACCGTTCCGTTAAATATCAATAATTTCGAACATCGCGGGGAAATTCCTTCGACTCATTTTGAAGTTTTGGGGGAAGCCGGAAGTGACGTCAATGCGGGAACGCTTCACTGTGCGGCGAGAGACAAGTGTGTTGTCATGCGTAGAAATGGTGAATTACTGAGTTTAGGCACGTTAATAACGTTTTAATGAAGTTGACTACAGTATATTCATATTTGTCAGTGCTTTCATGTCAATTCGGCGAACATAAACATAAATGATCGTGGTGAAGATGATGATTACATTAGGATTCAAAATCGGTAGTGAGAGCTACTGAATTTCCTCCTACTGAATATAATGCAATGTGTGTGTCTTTGACATTAGCGCTGCCAGCCACCTGTGCCCTGTACTACGAAGCCAGTTCAACATACCCTGGATATGTTTGAGTAACAAACAAACTAACAACAACAAACTAACAAACGAGATCTCGCTAAGCGGTCCTACAACGCTGGTTATCAACTCGGTAAATCAAGCCAGGGTTTCTCTCTCCAGCTGAGAGCGCGTTCACGTGAAAGGAGCGGGGTTAGCAACATTTGACCAATCACAAACAGGGACAAGTGTACTGACAGCGCAGCGTCATACTTCATTAATGAAAAGTAAACTAATATTAGACAAATATGAGCTTTAAACATCCATGACTTAAACATATAATCTAGGATACAAGCCACAGAGTTGCACCTGCAAGGTGAATACAGAACAACTGGTTAAAAAATAACTAGGCCTACCGAGTGTTTGAAAGCGTATAGTTTTATGATATCACTGCCCCATCTAAGACACGAGTGGATATGACTTTAATTACATTTGACTCAAGTGTTTCGTCAACATAATATGTTGCTTAAAATAATACTTCTGCATACAGTATGTGACACTGTAAGTGTTGCATGGCCAGATACGGCTGGAGAAGCTGACTCAGATAAGGAAATATATGATATATTATGATATTATATGATCGATGATCTGATTGATGATGTAATATCATCATCATCATCTTTTATTTAAAGAGACTCTTGGTCCATTATTACAAAAACATACAACACTCAAATATAAATTAAAAAAGGCAGTTATACCAATGTTTCCACAGAGGTGACTGGTATCGTACAGCACTGAAACACGGATTTGACAGCAGCATAATGGTAGAGTTATGAGAAACATTCAATCGACAGATATGAATATGAATGATAAGTGCGACATGTCGGCGTCTTCTCTGCATACCGCAGTTTAAACTGTATTTCCTTTATCCTGTAATATGACTTGAGAGATTTAAACTCCGCACACTGAGTTGATCTCTTTTCTATAGACGCCGGAGGCGGGCAGCGTCAGGTAAAAAAAGTTATTTAGCCTTCCCAAACCTGAGCCTCACGCGCCGCCTATGGGGGATGTGATTTATCCGACCGGCCCACTTCGGTACCGGCCCATCGGGATTCGTCCCGATGGCCAGTCCGCCACTGCACCCAACCCACGTAAACTGTCAACGGGGGGAGCCTCGCTGCGGGGAAACGGTGGACCTAGTGTCCCGATCGGAGTGGGAATAATAATAATAATAATCCGTGCATTTTATC